ACAATAACAGGATTCCCGATATTTTTCCATATTTGGGTGGGGGGGATCGTCTTCCCCCCCCCCCCACGTCCCATATGTTCCCATATTCTCAGGAATCGACGATTCATTCTGTCTGTGTTTTTGTTCCCTCCTGATGAATGGCATGCAACAATGAACTCCACGACGCTCATGCGACGTCACTCATACGCAAACCGCACCGTCCGCACAATTTGGCACTCTGCGTAATGCTGCGCAGCGCTGCAGGACTGCCGCTGAGGCAATCATCAAGACTGCGTCGGTGGCATTTGCACAACCAATTTCAAACAACCAACACAACCGTCGCACGTCTCGAGTCATTCCGCGATTCTGGCCGAGCCGCGGCGATGCGAGTAGACGATCTATGAAGCTGGGGATGGCGAGGTCGACCTAAGTCTGGCGATTCGGTTTGCGAAGTGTGTCGGGCATGCGGCATGTTCTGCTGCAGTCGGATTTAAAAAACTAAAAATTAAAACAGTCAAAACAAATAGCAAGCATTGTCAAACATAGTCAAACAGATCGTCCCTAGACTATTTGTTGGCTGTGTTTGAACATGTCTCCTGTAGAGGGACACGCCCGACGTCAAGCTAGCGAGAAGCTGGACATTCCCCGAGCGTGGCGGAGACAGGAGCGTCCAGGAAGCAGGTGTTGCTGGAGGAGCGGGACGGGAGGTGGGGCCCGAGTGGTGGACGGGGGAGCACGAAGCGGTGAGGATGCAAGGGCATGAACATCAAAACTCGGAGGTCCGCGCAGATTTCTCAGATCGGCGCTGGACCCCCCTGGCGGCGCCTCTGGCGCCGCGCTTGGCGCGCTCCGCGCGCCAGGGAGGGGGGTCCAGCGCCGCTCCGAGAAATCCGCGCGGACCTCCGAGTTGTTATGTTTATGTCATTATTCGTTCCCCTGCCAACGGAAGTGGCGAGGGATGGACCGAGGAGGCAGGGGTGCAAGGGTACCCTCGAGGAGTTCGCCTATCATCAGACACTGTGCGGGCTGACTGCAACACGGGAAGGGAGAGAGCGGCAGGTCGGCCACACGCCTGAGTGACCCCGGGGCAAGAGTGACCTCTGGTGAGCGGCGCTGGGGACGCCGCGGGGGGACCGAACACAGGCGCGCAAGACTCGGGCTGGGCGAAAGTGAGGGATAGCAAAGGTGGGGTAGGGGCGGGGTTGAGAATCAGCTCACGTACCCGATTTTTCTGGCGCCTCCCGGCGCCGGAGGCGGTGCAGCAGATTTCGTAGCCCTTTCCCTATCTCCCCCTTTCGTCCGGCCCGACGACGCTCCCGTCGCAATCGCGCTCGGCGATCGGGGGACCCCACTGGGCCCGCACCAGATGCCACTCCGGCGAGAGGCCACTCCTGCGTGCAGTCGAGCAGCGGCTGCAGAGGGGAGGCCGTGGTCCGGGGCGGCCAAAGTGGGGGGCGTCCCAAGAGGGGGCGCCATGGAATCTGCACGCGCCGCCCTTGGCCGCCCCCGACGTTGGAGCCAGGCCATCGCGCTGCAACGCCGAGCGAATGGACATGCGCGCGCCGCACCCAAAGCGTCCGGCATACGGGGCCGGCTCTCCGAATCTCGGCAGGGTCGTCCTCGACGAGCAGCACCTCCGCTGGGATCCCCCATATCGGCCCGGCTCCGCTGCTGCTCCCTGGGACATGCTGTGCATCTCGATGACGATGAGGACGAGGACGAGGGTGACGAAGATGACGAAGATGATGATAATGAGGATCACGACGATAACGGTGACGGTGACGGTGAGGATGACGACGACGACCACGACGGTGACGATGACGCTGACGTCATCGTTGAAGGGGAACTGGGACACACAAACAGATAGACACAAATAACCAGATCCCCCATACCTTCCCATATTTCCTGGGTTTCTGTCTTCCCCCCCTACTTCCCATATCTTCCCATAGTTCCGGGGGAATCGACGATCAATTGTGTCTGTGTGTTTTCCTTCCCTCCTGAATCGTCATCGTCGTCATCACCGCTGCTCCTGCTCTCTCCACCCGCGCGCCCGCCGCTGCAGCCGCCGATCTGATCGGCCCTCCCGTGGATGCCTCTGCTCCCCGCCGTTGCCACCCCCCCCGTCCCCCTCGCCATCGCTCGGACGTCCGTGCCCCGTGCATTTTTCGCAGGATGATCCAATGTGCTCCTCGATGGTCCTCGCCGAGGAAAAAAAAATACTCACGTCCGAGCGATGGCAAGCCCCTCTTCTCCCAGTCTCGGGGAGCAAAAACGGACGGGAACAACACTCGTATCCCGGTCTCGGGGAACGAGTACCCATCGGTCGGAAGAAATAGGTAGAAACATGAAGCAGGAAGGCGTTGAAAAATATATTGGGTGTCCGCCCGCCCCTTAAGGGAGGACGGAAAAGGTGAAGTCACTCGACAGGAACAAAACCTGCGCAGGTCCGCGCAGACCTCTCGCGTCGGCGCCGAAGCCCCGCCGTCGGCGCCTCCTGCGCCCCCCCTGGGCGTGCCCCGCGCGCCAGGGAGGGGGCCCAATGACGCTCCCAAGAGATCAACGCCGACCTCCGAAAATCAATGTTTATGACATGTTTTGTTCCTCAATAGTCCTCTGCCCTCCCAACCTGCTCTGCCGCATTCTCATCCGGCCGCTCCTCCGTACACCGCGAGGCAGCGGAAGAGCAGCGTCGGGCGGATGGATTCCACAGAATTGCAACCAATACAATTCCATGCAGTGATCTTTAATTGTGGTTCTGATTGCAGCCGTTGGGTAGCAGCGCCAATTGGCAGTCCGCCGTCAATTGTTGAGCAAAGGCGATATCTTGCATCGCGTGCTCAAATTATATCCGCCACCGTGCCTTCAGCACGCAGTGGAGTGCCCCAAGGCTCATGCAGCCACGTAGCCCTGAGAGATAGAGGGGTTGTAAGGTTCTGCGGGCCCGGACATCTAGCTTCCCAGCCGTCCCTGGGATTTCCTGGGAACTCCAGGGAGCTCATGGGGGCTCCCCGGGAGCTCCTGGGGGGTTCCCTGGAGCTCTTCGGCCGGCCTAAGCCGACCTCCCGAACCTTCGAGAACGGCTCAATACTCGCCTTAGATGGCCAAAGAGAGCCTCTGAGGGGTCCAAGACAGCTTCAGAACGGCCCAATGTGACCCCAAGATTGCCCAAGGGTCCCGCAAGCCTTAAGAGGGCCACCAGAGCACCCCAAAAGGCAAAAAACTTCCCATCCCCAAAGAAGAACTTACATGTTCAACAGATTCGTCTCGTGGGGTTTCGCAGCGTCCGAGACGGCCGAGAAGGCCTCCAAGATCGCCCAAAGACGCCCCAAGAGTTCGGAGGCCCCCAAGAGGGCTCCAAGATGGCGTCAGAGGGCCCCAAGACGGCACAAGAGGCGCCCAAGACGGCCCAAGAGGGCACCAAGATGGGGAGCTCGAGATGATACTCCGAGCCCTCCGCCCCAAACGGGCCTCCAAGATCGCCAGCAAGCCTCCAAGATGGCTCCGCCAGCGCTGCAACCGATACTTGAGAAGCTCGCTCTGTGCGCACCCGCTCGAGCGGCACGCGCGCACTCTTCCCGCAACCGTTGCTGCAGAGAGGCTCGCTCAGCACGCGCCCTGTCGCTCCCACCGCGCGTCGCATTGCCAGCGCTGCTGGCGAGAAACTCGCTCCGCACGTAATTACGGCAAGTTCGTTACTTGAATCGGGGAGACGTAAGACTCGGGTACGGGGGACTCGGGTTGGCCTGACGGGGGCCATCATAAAAATGACAAGACCCAATCTGAAATTTGACGCGGGCTCCCGCTGCAGACATCCCACGAAAACGGGACCGTCAAAATTCAGGACGCGCTCGTCAAAAAAATCGGCAAACCCGAGTTCCGGCTTACCCGAGTCTTACGTTTTCCCGATTGAAGACCCCAGCATGGGGTTCTCACGCCGCGTGGATCGCTCAGCCTTAATCGATGGGCGGCCGTCCGACCGCCAGATCGTGCCAGAGTTAGGTCGGGCATGTCCCCCCCATGGGCGGACTCTGCTCGAAAACTTCGAAATCGTCAAAACGTGCCCAACAAATAGTGCAAATAGTAGAAACACATCGTCCCAAGACTATAGTTTCACCGTTGTGAAGATTCCTCCTGTAGACGGACAGGCCCGACTCAATGGCAGAATGGCCGATTCTGGGACACTTGCGGCATGCAACCTTGAATGCCCGCGGCGGGGTCGCCGCCGCGTCGGCACGACACGAATCTGCCTTATATTACCAGCCTCGAACATATCCCTATCCCTAAGATTGACACTTCAAAAGGCGATGACAATCTTAGGGATTCGCCCTCAAAAACTAAGGGAATCCCTAATATTGTCCTCGTGATGAGGAGGTGCCCAGCATAGGGATAGGGATATGTTCCAGGCTGGGAATTATAACTTCCCAAATGCGGCCGGCACACATCGCCCTGACATCACCAGTACCAAGAGACGCGCGCGGTGCACGACAGCTCGCTGCCGCATTACATCGCCTTGCTGGCGCTGTTGCCAAGAGGCTCCTTCGGCGTGTGCCTGCTTGCGCCCGTCACGCATCGCGTCGCCAGCGTTGGTGTCATGAGCGTCACGGGCCTCGTTCCTTACCCAGCCGCTCGCTCCCACAATACATCGCGCTGCTAGGCCTGTTGAAACGCACCTCACTTGCTGTACTCGCATTGCAACCAGGGCTATATTTTGGCATCGGAGGAACTCTGAGCCAACTTAACTAGACCAGCAAGCCAACCTGGCCAGCCCAACACCGAAACTCTCCCCCAAACCAGCCCAGCCTTAGCACATGCTTCATCAACGTGATCTCGGCTCCCTGTCGTAACGTCACGTATGCCATCGGCATCGCCCACAACACTTGCTCAAACATCATGATGTTCCTGTAGCCATCCCTACTTATCTGCCGGGTAGACAGATGACACCACAAAGCTCATACCGCGTATCTCGCACCACAAAGACTGCACATCGAGCGAGATACCGTATGCTGAGCGGGGTCCACGCTACGCTGGCAAACGATTTATCGGTATGATGCTTCTTGTAAGCGGTCGCAGGTACAGGGGGAGGGGAGAGCAGAGAGGGTATGAGAGGGGGAGAGAACACTTAGGAGAGGGGAGAAGGCTTGGCGAAATGGTGGGAACCTACACGCACGTGCCGACCAATCAGAGGGGAAAACAAGGGTCCGGCCCAAGACCATCCTGGCACTGGATTCCGCAGGAGGTCGTGCAATAGCAACCGGTGGGAGGCGCAAGCGAGGACAGTCGGGGATATTCTGACCCGGGTCAAATCCAGACCCGGGTCAGTGAGGCCTTGCAGGATCCTGCAAGATCCTGCAAGATCCTGCACCCAAACGCGGGCCAACGCGAAGGATCCTGCAGAATCCTGCACCCAAACCCAGGTCAGTGCGACCCTGACCCTGCAGGACCCTGCAAGATCCGGCGCTCCGGCTGCCCCCCGCTTGCATTGACCCCCGTCTCTTGAGCCCCAAAGAGGAGGGGAACGCAGTGTTCCGGCCCAAGGCCATCCTGGCACTGGACGCCGCAAGAGGTCGTGAAACACCGACCGGTGGGGGTGCACGGCTTCCCCTGGGGCCGTAGGCGACCCGAGAACGGGGAGGAGGAGGAGGAGGAGGAGGAGGAGGAGGAGGAGGAGGAGGAGGCGGAGGAGGAGAGGAGGAGGAGAGGAGGAGGAGGAGGAGGAGGAGGAGGAGGAGGAGGAGAGGAGAGGAGGAGGAGGAGGAGAGGAGAGGAGGAGGGGAGAGGAGGAGGAGGAGGAGGAGGAGGAGGAGGAGGGAGGAGGGAGGAGGAGGAGGAGGAGGTGGAGGAGGGGGAGGGGGAGGAGGAGATGGAGGAGGAGATGGAAGGAGGAAGGAGGAGGAGGAGGAGGAGGAGGAGGGGAGGAGGAGGAGGAGGAGGAGAGGGAGGAGGAAGGAGCGCCCTGCGCAGGGGCAGCTGGAGCTGACGACGACCGGGCGCCCGGCGGGCGGCGGCGGCGCTTGCGGCGGGCGCGGCGCGCTGGGCAGCGGCGGCGGGCTGCGCGGGCGGCGCCGGCTGCGGGGGCGGCGCTGCAGCTGGGCGCGGCCGCCAGGCGGACGGAGCCGGCGCTCTGGCAGACGCGCGGCGGCGGCGGCGGCGGCTGCCCGGGGCGGGGCTGGAGGCGCGGCGGCACCGGCGGCAACCGCCGCGCGGCGGCGGCGGCCGCGGCGGCGCCCGGCGGCGCGGCGCGCGCCCCACGCCAGCGCGGCGGAAGCGGCGCGCCCGGCGGCGGGGGGTGGACGGCGCCGGCCGGGCCGCCGAGCTGCGAGCTGCCGCGGCGGGCTGCTGCGGCGCCGGGCTGCGCCGGGGCGCCGCTCGCTGACTGAGCTGGAGGAGCTGGGCGACTAGCCGAGCGGGGTCCGGGCTTGCCCGCACCCCGCTCGGGAGGTGTCGTCGCGACGCTCCGGGAGCTCAGAGCGGGCGCAAGCGCGGGCGCGGCGGCAAAGGGACCCGCGCCGCGGCCTTCGCAGGAGGAGGAGGAGGAGGAGGAGGAGGAGGAGGAGGAGGAGGAAAAGGAGGCAGAGGAGGAGGAGGAGGAGGAGGAGGAGGAGGAGGAGGAGGAGGAGGAGGAGGAGGAGGAGGAGGAGGAGGGGGACGGGTCGCCTAATCCCTTCGGAGAAACCCTACGGTGGGGGGCGCAAGAGAGGATGGACTCCCCCGACGCAGCCCCGGCGCGCGCCTGCTCCCTCCGCAGCCGCCTGTGCCGCATGAGCCGCGCGATGAGGCTGTGTTTCGCGCCCCAGTCCGCCTCGCGGGGGCAAGAAGGGGGCGGCTCCTCCTCATCCTCCGTCTCCTCCTCCTCCTCCTCCTCCTCCGCCTCCTCCTCCTCCTCCGCCTCCTCCTCCTCCTCCTCCTCGCCCCCACGCCGCTGAGGGGCAAAGGTAGGGGGGGGGGCTGGCAGGTGGGGATACATCGAGCTGGACTCGGCGATGCAGCGCCGACAGGTCGGCGATGGGCCCCCGACAGCACCTCCGCGCGTTCGTGTGCGGGGTGGGCTATCGGGCTCTCATTTGGCGATGAATGGGCCATTGGGGGGCTCGATACGCCCCCCACTCCGAGCCCCCCTCTCCCCCTGTCGTTGCCCCTGCCCCCCAGATGCCCCGCTTGCCTCCTTCCCCCTCCTCCTCGTCCTCCTCCTCCTTCTCCTCCTTCTCCTCCTTTCCCTCCTGCTCCTCCTCCTGATCGGCGGCGAGCGAGGGGTGGTAGTGAGAAGGAGAAGGCCCTTTCAGAAGTTTCGGAAGTTTTCCGGCCTTCTGAGAAGTTCCCTGTGCCTGACCCGAAGACAATCAACCTCTCAGAGTGCGCGAGGGCTTCTGAGAGGTCCCGCTCCCGAGAAGGCGTCCTCCTTCTCACTTCCCCCCCTCGCTCGCCGCCGACCCTCCCCCTCCGCATCTTCCACAGAGGGAGGAGGAGCGGCACACACGGAAACTTTCGACGGTGCGCGCCTGTGGACCTGCCCTGAGCCCAACTCCCGGACGTGCAGTGCGCGCCGGAGGCCCGCGCAGATCCAAGACATTCGCGCGATTCGTCGAGAGTTTATGCTTGAGGGTCAAACTGAGAGGTACCGATCCCGCTGCTCCCCGGACCTATCCCAGGGTGCGTTCTGACCAGAATTTCGAAGCGAATCCAGCGGTGGCGACGAGGGCCTCCCAGGAGGCCCAAACAAGCGAAATTGATGGAGGGGAAGCGGTACATATGGGTACCTCTCTTCCTCCTCTAAATTCAAAGCTGTGAAGCAAACAGGACTCCCCCGGCGGCAGCGTTGGCATCACAGATAAAACAAATGATTATGATCGGCGACCCCCTCCTGGCGATATCGTTGAACAAATACAACAATGTACTTTCGCCTCGAGGGATATCATGTTCACCCCAACGGGAACTCAACAAAAACCCACAGGAATGTACAGAAGTTAAGGGCGCAGGCTCGCGTGGACTAAGGCAGTCCATATTGCAATTCCGATGCAGATATGGACTATTTCGAGGGATCCTAGGAGGGTGACCCCGAAATCCTCGTCGACCGTTCATAATCCAGGAATGATGAACCTAGGTTCGTTATGTTCAGGACTCCCGTTGGATTATTGGCCTGTGGATGGATTGGTGGCCCCCCCCTCCACAGATCATTTCATTCTGGAATAATGCATCTGGGGTCGATATTCCGACACAATGAACCAGGGTTGATCCCAGTCCAATCTCCTTCTCAGACGCCCCCCCCTCTGCCAAATCACTATCATTCCAGAATGACAAACCGGAGTTCATGATTCCCAGAACATTATGAACACCAGTGTGTGTGTGTGATGTTCTGGAGATATCGGACCAGGATATTCTAACATAGTGAATCCCAATTTGGAGGCGCGGGGCTGGGGGAGAATAATCATGATAATCATTCAGGAATCAGTCGGGCGCGGCCAAACCGACCCCTAGCAAACCATACCCTTGCGTAGCGAGTTTTGCGTTTTCGAAGTCAATGCGGTCCGCGCGTGCGTCGGCTGCAGACTCGAGCAAAACGAATTGCCCACGCGCGAAGCGCTCTCGGGACACGACCGGCGCCGTCCCAAAGGAATTCGCAAACAGAAATCATGAAGTGCAGCAAGTGTGCCGCGCAGCTTCCTCGATCGAGTCGGAATGCGTGCTTGTTTGGCGGAGTTGGCGAAGGAGCAATGGGGGCATCGCTGCCATTCTTGCGCGTGCGTCTACAATGTTTTCAGATGCGGCACCATCGCATCTGCATCTTGGGGCGCGAGCGGCTTCGCAACTAGAGGAGACATATGATTGCCCGCTGACACTTTTCGGTGCTACTGTTGACTCAATCATCTTAACCACTCGCGTGCGTTTGGTGTTTGTCTCAGAATCAATGCTCGACAGTGGCCCCTCGCGGAAATTGCAGGGATTTGACAACAACTCGCCGTAGATTTCGGCTGACGCCCGGGGCCCCGCTTTCCTAGGTGACCGAGAAAGTTAGGATATGCGGGGGTTGCCAGACGATTGATGCTGGCGGTCGGACTCCGGAGCTCGCGGTTTCCCTTGAGCGAGCTGGGCGAGGCCCCCCCCACCCCCGAAGCCGCAACGAGGCTCCGAAAAAAGATCTTCTGATGCCCCCAAAAGAGCTCCGAGAGGGCTCCAAGCCGACCCCCAGTGGGCCCCAGGTCAAGGCGCACGGTGCATCATGCAACCGCAATGGCACGGCGGGGGACGTTGTTGTCGAGCACGACGCCGCGCCGCGGGGCAAACGGCAATGCATGCCACATCGAGGAAAACCTTACCCTCTTGCTTCAAGGGGGCACGCGGAAACAATACGACGTAAAAGTGCGCGTGCAAATGTCGCTTGCAGGAGCCTCCTCGGGACTCTCTCGGGGTTCTCTCGGGGCGTCCTCGGGGCTTCAGGACAGCCCCAGCGCGGCCCAAGACGGCTCCAAGACGGCACCGGCGTGGCCCACGTAACGGCCCAAACTCATGTTGCACCATGCATCGTGATGCGGGCCCTCCAAACATGTATTTGGACCCCTTCTGATGGGTGCCCTCTGGGGCGTTCTTTGGGGCCCTCAATGGGTTCGAGGGGGCTGCGGGTGGGCCTCGGGGGGGCCCCCAGAGGGGCTCCAGGAGGACCCCGGATGGATCCCCAGATAGCCCAGAGCCAAAAAGCATTTTGAATATTGGATTTGGGCCCTCTTGGGGGGTAACTAGATTACATTAAAGCCGTATTAGCGAGTTCTCGGCGACACGGGCCCCCTCCGGCTTCGGGCGGGTTTCAGGAAGTCCCGGAGAATGCCCCCACAGGGCATCAAGTGGACCCCGAGACATTCCTGAATCAGGATGCAGCGCGCGTCCTACCTTTGGATTTTCTCGGGGTCCAGGCGGGGCTCTCCCGAGGTCCTCTTGCGGGCCTCACGGGGCCCACTTGGGGCTCCCTTGAGCCCTCAGGCAGGCTTCCAGAAATTGTTGGCGCTCCGCGTATCCCCGCCAGCCCGTCCAAAAGATCACCGGGCGACTTGCCCTGATCATCAGGAGGAGCGATGAGGGTGAAGGGATGAGCCAGGAGGGAGGGGTGATATACAATAGCAGTCGAATACGAGAGTGGACATGGACAGCAGCGTTCATATACGCAAGTGGTCGTGCACAAGAGGCCCTCTTGGGTATCTCTCGGGCCCCCATTGGGGCCCTCGTGGGGCTCGCCGAGGGCCGTCTTGAGGCCCTCTAGGGGCCCTCTTGGGGCATTGCCCGGGCCCTCCAGGGCCTTCCAGTGCGATCCGGAGGGCTTCAAGCGGGCTCAAGACGGTTCCAAGAGAGCTTCAAAGTTTGTCAATATATTTGAAATATGGAGGCCCTCCTGAGGCTCTCTCGGAGCCCTCTTGAGGCCCTCCGAGATTGCATTGGAAGGCCTGGAGGGCCCCGAGAGGGCCCCCCCGAGGGCCCCCGACCAAGAAAGCTCCGGGGGGGGGGTCGTCACGGTAGCCTCCGGTTTGGGCGCCCCCTCGCCACGGAAGCCTCCGGTTTAGGTTGCGCCCGGGGCCCCCCCGAGCTCGTCACGGAAGCCTCCGGTTTAGGCGCAAGTCGGGTGACAAGACAGACGGGCGGGGGTCCCGGGGGGGGTCGTCACGGAAGCCTCCGGTTTGGGGCGCGCCCAAATGATACCCTACCGCGACGAGCTCCGGGTCCACACTTTCGAAATTTTCATTCGGGGATCCGCCCCGGGCGAGCCCCAAAAGACAGTCGCGCGGCCCCCGCAAGCCGCGCGAGTGCAGTTTGGGCCTCGCTGGGGGGCGGAGGGCAAAGTTTTGTCGCAGGTGCCGCGGGAGTCCAGGCCGGCTGGTCTTTCCCGATCTTCTCCCCGTTACTCCGCCGCCATCCTCTCCTCCTTCCTTACTCCTTCGTGTCTCTCCCTCCCTCGCCGTCCCCTCGCCACCCTTCCCTTGCTCTTCACTTTGGCCTCTCGCCATCTCCCTCTTTCCATTCTGTCCACTTTTCCGCTGTCCTCACAACATCCCCACCTTCTCTGTCTCTCCTCCTTGCCCTCTTTTCCTCCCCCCGCTTTCCTCGCTTTTCCTCGCCCCCTCCCTCCCTAGTGCACCTTCCCTCCCACCCCTCCCCCCTCGCATTAGCTCCCCTCGCCCGCGTCGCCCTTGCCCTCGGTTATTCCTCTCCTTCCCTGCCTCCGGCATTCCTTCCCTCCCCCACTCCCCCCGTATCTCTCCTACCTCCTCTGGCTCCCCTCCCGCGCCCCCCTCCCTGCGTGCGTCTTTCGCCCTGTCTCCCTTCCCTCCCCCCTCCCCCCTCCCTCCCCCCTCCCTCCCTTAGTTCCCTCGCCTGGCGACGCGCTGCACAATGCACTCCGCCGCGAGGGCGAGCTGGGCCAGGGGTCGAGGAGGAGGGGGGCGGAGGAGGGGGAAGTTGAGAGAGGGTGGGGAGGGGGAGGACGAACGGGGGCGGCAGGGGAGGGAAGGATCTATAAAATATGTGGACGGGATATCAAGCGGAAATGGAGGGATGTGGGTTGCACGTGTGGTTTGTGCGGCATGTGCTGGCATGTTGCACCCAGGCATACGATTGGTTCCCAGTATTTGCAACTCATTGCCTCAATATGTGCAACGTACTGTGTTGCGTCTGTGGGGATGCATGGCCAATGCCTTGAAACGTCCGCAGTCTTTCATGGGGCGCGTGAACCTGGTCGCGCAGCACGTGCGTATTCATGCGCCTGGCTCGGCACCGGAGCGATACTTGCCAACGCAGACATGGGCGCTCTGTGATGCAGCCAAGTGTGGATCCTATGATATGTCTGTTTGTGCACTTTCGAGGCTCCTGATATGTTGCGGGCACGCGCTGGCAAAACCCCTCCACAGGAGGACCGTCTCTTTGGGCCATCATTGGCTCGATTCGCCATCCCTGCACGCGTATGCGTACGTCAGGGTGGGTGACGTTTCACTTGCTCGTCCATATACAAAAAGGCGTGGTGTTCCTTTGTCAAACTCCCGAAGTAGCGAAACGAGTTATTTGTAATTCTGGTGTCGTGAGTGTGCCGATCTCTTTTTCGAGAAATCGTCCAAGGTTTGCCAGGTATGTTGTAAGACTGTTCAAACCCTGGCGGTCGTACTTCACCGCGCGCAAAGCATGCGACTGCTTCGTTGGGATATGTTCGTTTTGGGGGTGGTTGCGTTTTTCCTAGCCGCCCAGGTTCAGTGCGCGTTTCGGCTCACCGACATCATGTGCGCACCTTGGAGCTCTGATTCGCATTAAGAAAGAGTTGCGCTACGCAGCGCAGGGCCGAGGCATGATATTTTGAATGATAAACGCCCGTGCCAGCGCAGACGTGTCGCTCTGGCCGGCCACCGTTGGTCACGCCATTCGAAGGCAGCGCGTGGATTTCATGCGCCGTTGACGTTCCCCGATGACTGTCATTGGGCCGTGCTCCTCATCTTGCGTCGTTTTTTCTGCCGGCCCGTCGTCGCGACTTCTGCCCGCGCTGGCGATTTCGTTTATGTTCGTCCCCGAAGCGCTTCACTGGTGCAGCGGTTTCCAAAACGTCTCGATTTAGTTGTCTCTCCGCATGCCCTTGGGACCGCGACCCGGTCTTGAGAGAGCGACGCTCTCAGGAAAGATCTCATTCGCTCCCTGTGTTTGCGCACTTCCGCCTTCTTTGAAAAAAGGGCATGGTTTGGTAGGGGTCGGTTTGGCCGCCCCTGAATCAGGAATCCAGATTCAGAATATCCGCCTATGGCTCAGGTGACGCCCCTCAACCTACATCATGATCATTCCAGAATACTAAACAGGGGCTTACGATTCCGGAAACATTATTATCCCAGTCAACATTCCCGGGACATTATAAACCCAATGTAAAATCTTTTTTGGGTCATCATGCCCGGAACATTATAAACTAAAATTATAATGTTTTGGGGCTTCATTATGAACCACAATCAATATGTCCCGGAACTTTAAAACCCAGGTTCATAATGTTCCGGGGGAACATTATGGACCCTGGCCAATAATCCCGGAACGTGTTAAACCCAAATTAATATCTGTTTTGGGTTCGTCCTGGATCATATGGGAGAAACCACGGAAAGATATCGGAGACGGATTCCGCGACCCAGCGCCGATCCTGGAAATCCGCGCAGAGCTCCGAACGTTTATGACTATATTACTCGTTGTTTTTCGGAAGCCATGAAAAAATCAGAAAACCTAGGTAACGACGACGACGACGACGGCGGCGGAGGGCGGCATTAGAGGCCTCCTACATGTGGTCCGAGTGAATGGCGTCGGACGAATGCACCGCATCGCCACAACATCGGCGACACATCTGCGATGCATCGTCGCCATCGGCGTCGAGAAAACGGGGCTCCGCATCGAGCCGCATCGCCAATACATCGGCGATGCGGAGCCATCCTTCGATCCCGTCTGCTCGAACCCCATCTGTTGGTGGCGCGCACACGGGGGTAGGGGGAGGGGGGAAGGCTTCGCAGAAGGAGGCCTGCCTCCTAGAGGGCGCCGGCCCTACATCTGCAGACGAGGCCCGCGCCTGCTAAGAAGCAGGAGTGCTTCTAAGAAGCCTTCCCCCCTCCCCCATCTCACCCTCCCCAAACCCCCGACGTCGCGACTTTTTCGCAACGTTGACCCCCAGAGGTCTGGACGCCTTCCCCGGGACCGGTTTTTCATCCTGAGTTGTTTTGCCGACGGCCCCGGAGGCCTGGTAACTAAGGGCCCCCGGAGAGGCCGCAAAGAGCGAAAAGCCTGGCGCCTCGTTCTTTCACCACGCGAGGGGGTCTGAGTCTGCGCGTGGCCGAGCTGCAAGAGAAGATCAAAGAACGCCATAAACACAAGCCGTTGGCTCTCCGCGCGGACTTCTTGGATCGGCGCGGGAGCCCCCTCGCTTACGCGCGCGCGGAGAGCGCGCCGGGGGGGGTGCCGATCCAGGAACTCTGCGCGGAGCTCCGAAGTGGTATGTGCACGGCGATTTCTGCACCGTCGGTGCAGCGCGGTCCTTCGACCCCGATGATGATGATGCTGATGATGCTGATGATGATGATGATGCTGATGCTGATGGTGGTGATGCTGATGATGGTGATGATGAAGATGATAGTGATACTTACGCTGCTGATGATGGTGGCGGTGGTGATGATGATGGTGATGATCATGATGATGCTGATGATGATAGTGGTGGTGATGATGCTGATGCTGATAATGATGATGATGGTGATGCTGATGATGATGATGATGGTGATGCTGATGATGATGAGGATGATGATGCTGCTGATGATGGGGATGATGATGATGATGCTGATGATGTTCGTGGCCTCTGTTCTCCTTCGATGAAGAAGGATCCCTCGACCCCGTCTGCTCGAACCCCGTCTGGGAGGCGCCGAGCGGTGGCGAGCGGCGGCGGCGAGCGGCACGGGCTCGGCAGCAGAGGGGCGCGGGAGCGGGCGAGGGGGGGGGGAGGCGCCTTGTCCGGAGAGCCGAGCCACCGCGCCTGGCCGCGAGGGGGATCGCGGAGGGCGCCGATCGGCCTCGAGGTCGAGCCTGTCCTCCCACGGTCGGATGTTTGGAGGAAGAGCGACAGAGGATCGAGGCGTGCTCAAGCGTCCAGTCAAGCCGTACAGTAAGGATGCGCGGCAAGGATGCAAGGGCCTTGGACGCCCATGCCGAGGCTCTTCGAGCTGGTCTGGCCTTCGAAAGTGGTTGAGGATGGGCCGAAGATGACCGAAGAGGCAAGGATGCAAGGGTACCCTTGGGAAGTCGCTCATCCTTACTGTGCGGGTTGACTGTAGTCAAGAGCAATAGGAAACATCTTCCCCCGACTATGCCTGACTACGTGTGGATCTCCCTCCTGTAGAGAGGTACGTGCCCGACTGCAGGGTAGCCGTGCGCAGAGGGAGGGTATGGGGGAGGGGGGGGCTTCTCAGAAGGAGGCTGCTTCTTGGAAGGCTGTTTCCCAGAGGGCTGCTGTAGGTGTAAGGCCCGCGCCCTCTGAGAAGAGGCCTCCTTCGAAAAAAGCCTCCCCCCCTACCCCCTTCTGCGCGCCGCCAGTATTAGGTCCCCCATACAGGGGGATTTCGGAGGAAAAATTAAAAATACGCAAAACATGTTCCAAAATTGTCAAACATAGTCGAAACATCGTCACCGGACTATTTTTCCAATTTTTGAATATTCCTCCTGTAGGGACACGCACGACTTAACGACAATAATGGGGGTGGGGCGGTGAATGGGGGAGAGGGGGCGGGCGAGACAGGTGCACTCTCGGGCCTCAAAGGTATACGGGGGCCCTGCAGAGCCCCTTGTCTGTAGCTAGCCCTCGTCGCCGCCCCCCCCCCCCCAACCGTTTGCGGGGTGGGGGCGAGACGGGTGCACTCTCGGGCCCGAAAGAGGCATACGGGGGGCCCTACGGAGTCTCTCTTTTCTGCAGCACTGCCCCCCCCGCCCCCCCCCCAACCGGAGCACCCTCGGGCGTCCTCTTCTGCAGCACTCGCTGCCCCCCCCCCCCACAACCCCACCGCTTGTTGGGGGGCGAGACGGGCGCATGCTCGGGCCCGAAAGAAGCATACGGGGGGCCTCGGACCCGAGAGAGGCATCAGGGGGCCTCTGCAGAGCCTATGTTCTGCAGCACTCGCGGCCTTCCCCGCCCCCAGTTCGCGGCCCCTCCGCTGCGCGACGCCCAAGGGGAGGGGGGGGGCGTTAAGCAGGGACCGACCGTCCCTGCATTCCTGTAGTCCTGCCACGAAGCGTTCTTCGAACCCAAACAATGTTCTAAGAACAAAAACAATGTTCTTAGAGCATAACCCCGATGTGCTAAAACGAGACAGTCCCAGCCAGAAATGTTCTAAGAACATCTCGTGGGAACCACAAAAGGCCTTTAGGCGAGCCAGGACGCTTCGGCACTGCTTGGGGGCGGGAGGGCGCGGGACCACCGGCCGCCCGAGGAGCCTCGGGGTCTCCGGGGGTCGAGGCTCCACGTCTGTGCTCGCAGAGTGGGCAAAAAGCGTGTTCGGGGCTGCAGTCCATCGGGCACTGGAGATCGAAGTCTGGAAGTTGAGGCTTGGAAAAATCGAGGCTTGGAGACACACAGACAGACAGACAGACAGACAGACAGACAGACAGGCAGGCAGGCAGGCAGGCAGGCAGGCAGGCAGGCAGGCAGACAGACAGACAGCCGTGCACGTCAGAGGTGCGCTGGCAATGTGGTGAGGCGGAAATGATTGGATGAGATGAACACGTGAGCGTGATGCAGCAATTCTTACACCGGAGCCCGACGGATATTGGAAACAAAACCTCAACGACCCCACACGAGTTCCTGACTTGGACCTACAACGAGAGGAAAGGGGCACTAGGGCAAGGAAAAACAGGCTTCAAAGACAGGACGCAAAGAAGCGAGGAAGAGCGGCACCACCACCACCACCATCACCACCACCAGGGACCACCAGCGCGAGAAGCCAGGAGAGGTCCCCCTGGTGTTGTGGTCCCCCCCTCTCGCTCGAGACAGGCCCTATCACCAGCTCTCGGCGATGGACCAACCTCCCTTTAGTAAACCTCCCTTTAGTGAAAACGGCCTGGGACCGAAACCGACGGACCCAGACCCGCGAAAATGACGGCCGCAACGCCCTCTCGCGAACCGAAAACGGCCAATTCGCTAATCGACGTGTCAGGGTAGGAGGTCTGTCCACCCCCGAAGCACGGGGGCAAGAATGCCCCCGATCTCAGGAGCGCTCTCTCTCTCGAGACTTTCCCGTAATTCAGGCAAGACACGGCGACAAAGGCTCCCGTTCGATATTTCTCCATCGGTATTCCGAGAGCCCCTGGCCAGAGAGGCCCCCGAATTCTGGAACGGCGCTCTCGCTCGAGACTTCTTCGCACGTTAGTCAGTGGCCGACAAGGAAGAGATTCCCCCCGAAAGGGGGTGCAATCGAAGACGAAATGGGCGGGTATCGAGGGTTGGGGTATACGGAATGCAAGACACGCGTGCCAGTAAGAGCGAACAGTCTTAAAATGATTGCGGCTGTTGGTGCTGCTGTTTTTGTTTGGGGGTCCACACCAAAACGTGGATACGGGACGTGTGGTACAGCGGACATCCCGCCGCTTCCATTCGGGCAAGTGGGCTCTCCTTCATGTTCGCTTCACGTCGAAGTGGCTGGAATTCCCTTGTACTATTCTCCAGACGTCGGCAGTGTCGTTCGAGTTTAGGGAGCTTGCCAACCAAATTCGTTTCAGCCGCGATTGGCTACGTGTCGGTGTGCGATGATCCCGAAAGCATCCACCCATCGTGGGAGGAAACGCAGCAAACGCGACGCACAAGTCTTGGCCCGAAGCCCACGACCTCCGACGAGGTGGGGAGGGTCGGGGTCCGAGGGCGCACATCTCTGATACGCAGGCGTGCCCCTACTCGACTGCGGTATGTATGCGGACTGTGTGCCTAGATCGTTTCGCTCCTCCCGCTGCTACTACAGTCAACCAGTATCATAAGGATGCGCGATAAGGATGCAAGAGCCTTGGACGCCCATTTCGAAGCTCTTCGAGCGACGCGCGGCCAGCGAAAGCGGCGAAGGATGGACCGAGGAGGCAAGGATGCAAGGGTACCCTTGGGAAGGCTGCCCATCCTTACTATGCGGGTTGACTATACCACTGATACTGCAACCGTTGCCGCAACTGCTGATACCGCTGTGATAACTCCTCTGCGCGCTGATGCTTCTCCAGGCGCCTACCCAGATTGACTGCCACACAATTCGGCCGTACCTATTCCTAACTGGCTTCAGACGAGCAGGTGGTGAGCGTTTTTTTTATTCGGCGTTTCGACATTGGGCGGAAGGGGGGGGAGGGGGGCGGGTCTGGATCCAGACCTCTGTTTAGTGCGACTGTTTGCAGCAGTGCTGCCTCTGGGAGAGACTCCACCCGCTCGAAGCAGGCGTCCCAAAAAAGCCAAGATATACTCCAGGGGGAGGGGGAGGAGGGGGTGCGAGGGCCCACACCGATCGGCAAAACAACGAATAAAAACTGCCACTTACTGTTCATCATGTAGTGTTTCAGAGTGTGTATTCTGCAAGGTATCATGGTGAGCCGCAAGTTAAGTCGCTTCCCTTCCAAGTCTTGATGTGTTTTACTTCAAGCAGATCATCGATGCAGGATCGAGTTGCAGAGAGCTATAATATCTGGCAGACACTGGCATTCTCATTCGATCTTCAACAACTCAACCTCGAAGGTCAAGTCGGCGTTCGGAGGGATAACGCCACCAGCCCCACGCGAGCCATAGCCATAGTCGGGCGTCATTTTCAATACAGCTTTCTCCCCCAGGCTCATCTGGGGAACGCCCTCATCCCAGCCTTTGATAACCTGGCCAACGCCGATCTTCGTCACAAAAGGAACGCCGCGGTCAAGGCTCGAGTCAAACTTCTTCCCGCTGGCCGTGAGACTACCAGTGTAGTGCATTGTGACGGTGTTGCCCTTCTTTGGGAACCTCTTTCCATCGCCTTCCCTCAGGACCTCTCTGGTGACGCCAAAGTGGCGCACTGGAAACAGAGCAGGCCGCGACACTCGCTGCGACACGGACAGCATCTGGCGCGCGCAACAAGGGTGCTCTCGAGGTGCTCTCTGAACCCAAACTGCTCGAACCAACAAAAATGGCTTCGGACTTCGGGTGACCGAACACTCAAACATACCCTAATCGTTGCGCCGCTTCCCGCATCCATTCTATATCACAAATAGAGGCCTCCTAGACGGGGTCAGAGCAAATCGGGTCGGAAAAACGCGCCGCGTCGCCGATGTATCGGCGATACATCGGCGACTTCAGCGATGCCGTCGTGCAGAAAACCCGCCTCCAAATCGAGCGGCAGCGCCGATGCATCGCAAATGCGGAGCGATCCTCCAACCCCACGTTAGGGAAAATGGCCGCAGAGATTGCCTCCACGATGGCGCCAGTGGCCCCATGTTGGCCCACTGGCATCGCGAGGCGCGAAGGTGGTCCGAGTTGGTACCTAGGCCTCCAGAAGGTGCTATACACTTTTTCATCCCCGGGTTCAGAGCGCACCTCTTCCGGTCGAAGCTAAGCGGGCCGCGCGCAGCTTGAATTAACGAGAGGGGGGCTGAAGGAGGGGCCTCACATCAAGGCCAGGAGGGGGCAAAGCCCCGGAATCAGGCGGTGCCGAAGACGATGTGCTTGCAAAGGAACGCCTTGGACAGGAACCCAAAAAGAGGGTGCGATACACAAACCAACGTCACTAAAGACATAGCATGCTTTACTCAATCTCTGGTCGGCCTTTGGGACCCGTGGATAGCCCCGGTCGGGCCGGCCCCCAGGAGCCCTCCCCTCAAGATGCCTGCAAGGGCCCCCACCATGCCCCTGATAAGCTCCCAAGATGCCCCACGCAGGCCCCATGGAGCGCCTCCTCAGGCTCCCTGGGACCCTTGAAGGTCTCCCAAAGGTTCCCCAATGACCTGCGAAAGGCCTTCAACAAACTCCACTACAACCGACCAAAGGGCTTGCGAATCCCCCGTCGCGAGTTCCGTCTTCTCACGGTCGGCGGAATGGCGTAGACTTCTTGAGTGCATCCAAGAATGGTGTGCCACGGGTGACCAGAATGATTCTGGAGAACTCCGTACACACATGCGGCACTACGCGAGCCGACCAGAGTTCTACTCCAGCCAAGTGATGTCTCGAATAGACAACACGCACAAATTTCTCGCTGCGCAGACAAAGTGTGAACTATTCGTCTAACATGCGACACACGAACTGACATGCGTCTCAAACGATCACGGTGCCCGAACCAACGCTGAAGATCATATCCACAAAATCCCTCTACACCTTTTGCATCAACCCAGAAGCAAATGGAACCAAAAAGTCTCCTCTGTGGAGGACAGGTGCGAACTGCGCCTGCCAACAAGCTGCATCGAATATTCAATGGTGATGATCTATGGTGTTTTGGTTCACCCACTGTGAAGCCAAGCCTCCTCGTCTGTGGCCCTCGTCTCGGATAGCAGCTGCTTGTCATACGCCGTAGCTCCTTGACAACGGCAGGCGGGGCAGAAAACGAAGAGGCCGTGTAGCACAAACGATGCTCGACAGGAACAGAAACGCATATGCGCACACCCACACATACATACGTGTATGTATACATAGAAACGCGTTAGCAAGCGCGCGCCCCAAACAGTGTTTCTTGCAATCGATGTTTTGAACTATATTTGGTTGCGCAGTGCACAAAAATGTTGTACAATATTTGCCTTGTGCAATTTACACGTTGTGCAATCTATGTGGTGCAACCAGTGTGGCGCACTCTATGTTGTGCAAACGATGCCATCGATGCTTGTGCAAACTACGTGGTGCGCGGCTGCTCGGAACGAACTTCGCATCACCAGCGCGCACGCTCGCGCGCGAAATGGCCAGCTAGTTTGCCGCGACGACGCGGCCGCGGTGGCGCTGAGCGCTGGGCAATTCCCAAGGGGCACTGCGGTGCGAGTCTGAGACATGACCGGGCGTGGTGCCATGGCAACGCCGACGACGGTAGACGCGATGATGACAGTAGAGATGCTGTTGACGAAGATGACAACGACGACGGCGCGACCAGTAACGGCGCCGATGCTGATCACGCCGACGGCGTTAACGGTGTCCTCGCGTCAATGATGAAGGTTTTGGAAGGAGTTCGGCATGCGCGCGCGGCCGACACGCGAGAGTGACCCGGATGGTACTGTTTGACACGGACCGCGCACCCCACCCCAGCACGCGCGCAAGGGTTTTCGAACGATTTCGACATGCGGCGCGAAAGGCCAGTTTGGCACAATGGAATGATCAGTTTGAAGCACCTGTGGTATTTTTGAGAATTCGCAAGATCGCCAGCGCAGGCTGTATTTTGAAAACTGATGTTGCGAATCCACGTGATTTCTGCCATGTTTTCGGGACGCTCGATTATGGAAATCCTTAAGGAGCTTCAAGTGCTTGAAAGATTCCGACATGCGCGAAGCGACGGCGCGATCGCACATCGTCCCATTTTGTGCAAGGGGTTCTCGCGACAGCACGCGCCCAAAGGCGCTCTCGCGATTCCAACATGCGCGCGCGAAGAATATGTTTGGAAACATGCTCTGAAACTGTTGGAACACCCATGCTGTTTGCCAGAATCCGCGAGAGCCCGAGCGCGTTGTTTTTGTTGGGGGGTGGGGTCCGTGTTGGGAAACAAGTTGTTTATATGTTTGTTTTAACACTCGAATTCTGGATCCTTGCGAAGCCGAGAAATTTCGATAATAATTCAGCACGCGCGCGCGGCGACGCGCGTGCGTACTTCATCCCACCTGTTGCAAAGGTTGTTGAACAATTGGTGATTTGTTGTGAACAAATGCGCGCGCATGGTTTTTTGCCGAACGAATGAAACAAATATGTGGGTGATGCCGGCCTGCCTGGGATGGTGTGAACTCAGAATCCCACTCGAACTACAATGCGAATGTGGGGCCCCTTGAATCCCGGGTGGGGGGCATCTGTGCGGTGCATTGCGCGTGGTTCAATTGATGTGATACGGTATATGTGGCGCGAAATGTGCGGCGCACTCCTATGTGGCACGACACACTTGTAGAACTTGAAGCTGTCATTTCCACTTTTCGTGCAATCTTTTTGTTAACCGCCCGCACTTTGGTTGGCAAAACCGTTTCCGAAACGATTCGGATGACTGTTTGGCGCTGGCTTGCGCACCGCTGCGGGCGCGGCGGGCGGTTGCGGCATTATGGATCGGGCGGGCGCGGCATTATAGCGACGTCGCCAACGGCAGTCGCGATAACGATAATAACGAAGCTTGTGACGACGATGACGGTGACGACGGCAAAGCCAATGACGGCGCCCACGCTAGCCACGCCGATAACGACAATGGCGCCCGTGCGTCGGCTGGGTTGCATAGAATAATTCAACGAGGCTCGCGCCCCCCCCTTCGCCCCCCGCGCGCGCAAAAGCGCTCGAACAATTAATTTCGACGGGGGGGCCCTCATGTTGTAAAACGGACATCGTATGGGGTACAAACCACCCTGCCGAATTGAAATTGCCAACGCCACTGCTCGCGCAATCATTCCACCCGCTCACCCGAAATCTGGTTTGAAACACAAATTCGGCGGCGATTGCGAAGGTTGTTCGGCGCTGGCTGGCGGTTCGCCGCGGCGGCCCTTGCGCGCACAATCTCGTTCGCGGGGCAGCTAGCTAGCCCGGCGCGGACGCCGAGGCCGCGGTGGCGCTGACCGCCGGGGGCCCCCCAGCGCGTCTCGCAGGCTGCGCCGACGCCCAGGCGCTTCAGTGCGAGTCGGTGGCTCGGGCGGGCGCGGCGTCGCGGCGACGTCGACAACAGCGGACGCGATGATTATAGTCGCGATGCTGGTGGCGACGATGAGAATGACGACGGCAAGGCCAGTGGCGATGCCGATGCTGCTGATCACGCCGAACACGATGCTGGCGTCCACGCGTCGGTATTGAACGTGTCAGGAGGTTCTGGGCGCGCGCGCGCGGCTGGCGGGCGCGAGTGGCCCGCGAGCACTATGCGATAGGGATCGCGCCCCTCGCATGCGCGCGCAAGGGAGTTCGAACCATTTAGACACGCGCGCAGAATCCGTTCGGTCGTTTTCTAAGGCAGTGGTGGGGACCCGTCGTTTCGGATAACACATATTCGCAAGAGCGCCCGCGCAGGCAATTTTGAAAATGCAACATGCAAAACCAAATTCGTGTTACATGTGCTCGGGAAACTCGATTCTAAAATCCGTGCGAAATCATGCCTCTGAAGGATTTCTGCCTGCGCGAGAGACATCACGCGCGCCACTTCGTCCAGTTCTTTTCCACAAGGACTTTTGGAACATGATGATTTTCGATGAACGTGTGCGCGCGTAGTGCGCTTCGCAGAAGATGGTGGGGCCTTTCCTACTGGGACAAGAAACTATATGGCGCGCGTGGCCGCCCCCCCATGCTCGCCACATCACCCCGCCCTCACACCCGCAACTGGTTTGCAAAAAACAGGCGGCGGCGATGGCGACGGCTGCTCGGCCCTGGGTGGTGCATCGCTGCGGCCGCGCTAGTATGCGCAAGCTCGTGCGCAGAGCGGCCGGCGAGCACTGGGCGACCGACGCGGCCATAGTCGCGCTGACCGCCGGGAACTCCCCCGCGCGTCTTGCAGGCCGCGCTGGCGCGCGGGCACTTCAGTGCGGGTCGGTGGCTCGGGCGGGCCTGGTATCATGGCGACGCCAACTACGACAGACACTCCTACTACAGCCTGCACTGCACTTCTCTCACACCTGCTCCTTCGACACCGCCCATTACAGCTCCGACTGCAGTTCCTACAACGGCTCCCTTTACATACCCTACAACAGTTCTTACTATAGCCGATACTAATTCAGATCCCACTGCAACTGTTGTTGCAAAGCTTGATACATTTCATGCTCCACACCCAATTGGATACCCGAGTGCACCTCTGACCGCACGGCCAGAAGCACAGCTTTCCACAACATTCCTGATTTGACTCTTCCCCACATCCCGAATACAATCAACAAAACAGGTCTAAGCAAAACTTCCGATGCGTCTCCCGCTGTAGCTCGTAATGTTACGACACTGCGTCCAGTCTTACTACTGCTATTTACATACTAGCGCTATTTATCAGAGTGAGGGGCCGAACGGTCATTCATTTTCCCTGGGTGCGTGGCTGAAGTGAGAATCCGTGGTGAGGATTCTGCTTGTTGCGCTGTTGTTGTTGTTGGTGGTGTTGTTGTTGTTGCTCGTTGTATCCGTCCCCCCCGCGACCCACCCGCGATCCACCCCGCGACCCACCCCGCGCCCCACCCCGCGACCCACCCCACGACCCACCCGCGACCCAAACCGCGACCCACCCCGCGACCCAACCCGCGACGCACCCGCGACCCACCCCGCGACCCACCCCGCGACCCACCCGCGACCCACCCGCGACCTTCTACAACTCCTACAACACTTCCTACCGCAATCACTAGCAGTGCAATCGGACTGCCCATCGGGAAGCAATATTCATTTGACATACCAATACAAACGCTATCACATCTGACCACACTGTGTCCAGTAACGCTTCTGCTGCAAGACTAACATCAATGAAATGCAGGCACCAATGCAGTTCGCAATGCGCCTCCATCTACAGCTCCTAATACAGGTCCTCATGAAGCCAGTAGTACAGCTCTTACTCAAGCTCATGCGACCATGCGTAATAACTATTCCAATGCATCTCGTCTTGTGCAGTTCCTACATCGCATTGAGGGCATCTATGTTGCAGGGCCTGATTGGCTGGGCCGTAGATCTCTCGTCGCAGCTCTTCTGGACGACCCCTGCTACAGTTAATGAAACAGGTCGTATCACAGCTCCTACTACAACCAAGTTTGCAACCCTCTGGGATCTTATTGCCATATATCCTACCGCTGCTCTTGACGTATTGTGTGCAAGTGCCATTATTGCAACTATTACTGCAACTCGTACTACAGATCGAACGCTTGCGGAGCTCAGCCACTACAGCTTGTACTAGAACTCCCCATGGAGCTCCTACTACGTATCCTATGGCAGCTGTTCTCACGAGTCATCCCAACAACAGAAAAGGGACTGCATATATTCGAGTGCAAACCTTGCTGCATATTCAAGAGAGAAGAGAGACAACATATTGGGAAAAGAAAACGACGATTCAAGTAGGAAGCGGACGAAACGATGAGCGGGAATCGACCGTAAAGTGGGGGGCGTGGGGGGGCGAGCACATACACACAAATCTATATGTGTGTATTGTATCCAGCAATGTGAAGAGAGACAGAGACACAGACAGAGACAGAGGGAATACGATATATACATATATATATATATATATGTATATGTATATGTATATGTATATGTATATGTATATATAGAGAGAAAGAGAGAGAGAGAGAGAGAAAAATAAAGAAAGAGAGAGAGAGAGAGACTGGCGAAAGATACTAGCAAACAGGGCGTGCCGACAAGGGGAGAGGTGGGAAAACAATGAAGAGACAGACGCACCCAAGCCCCGAG